CTTGCTGCAGTTTCGTGCAGCGAATTGTGTTTAGCTGTTTGTATTCCGTTTTAGACCCTTTTTGTAACTATTAAAACTCTAAATATTGATGTATATGGTTGTTAGTAGATGAATTCATTCCTGAAATTTACATTTGTCGTCTGTTACTATGTTTTAGCAGCCCACCTTCAGGAGTTATTTCATCGGAGGTCTCGCGGTATTGTGCTCTCATCGAGTTCGAGGGTCGCGTGTTCCATCCCCGTACCAAACAAAAGACTAAAACATCAGACTCATATATATCTTTGTTGACTGGAACACATATGTATCTTCTTCATACGCTATATGGCGTTTGCTTTAGTTCTGACTGTAAGTGGACTATTTATATAGATTTATGACAGAAAAAGCCTCAAAACAATTAAATATCTTGAGGAAATGGAAGTTTAACTGAATCGTGTGTATTTTGAGGGAATATACACGACTTCCATATTCTTTCATATTTATAATAGTCTTTTAACATATGATACAACTGTGGTCTCAAATGCGGATCGTTTAGAAAAAAAAATATTTCGAGACAGCACAAATTGTAACTGGATAAACTATTTGTGCAAATAAAGATTCTTTATACACTGAAGCAAGTTGAGAAAATCTTGCAAAGACAATAAAGCAAAGTTACTTGATAAAATAGCTACGAAGCATTTTAATTCATGGTTCCCTTGAATAAACTTTCTATATAAGGTTGTCAATTTAAACACCGTAGTAAGATCGTTGAACATTGTTTTATTGGTACTAACATTGATTTTGGTTTTTTTCTATACAGTTATGAAAACGCTCTGTCGATAATATGTACTTATATTTTAGCATTTCACACGTTCATTTTTTTTTTCATACTGTTTATGGCGTTTAACACTAATCCATTGGACGTTTCCTGATTAATACTTTAGTCTGGGAGAACATGATTTACCTATTTGCTGTAATTGCCTTTGAACTAGGTTTTTTGCTCTCAGATCGATACTTTGTGTCGTTTGTCTTTATTTTAAGTTGTGTGTGTGTGTGTGTTTTGTGTGCTAGTTGCAAATCTGATAAATCAAGTCATTTTCAACTGTAATTTACAGTTTGTTCTTATGTTGTGCTATCACACCACTATACATTCAACAGTTAGAATAACTGCAAGACAGGTTTCAGAAGAATCATAATATACTTTTTATCTAATTTTCCCGTTTTGGCTGATTTTTGTCTTCTTTAAAAAGGAACCTTTTGACTCAGATACACCATCATAGATTTTGTTTGTCATTAGGGATTATAAATATTTCAACTTAACCAGTATACATTTAAAAAAATCATGACATCAAACCTAAATTAACATTAAAATTGATAAATTCTCAGTTTCCTGTTTTCGGGGATTTCATAATTAAAATCTTCAAGATAATTAGTTTCGGACTCAGATTAGTAATTCTTATTTGTGAAATATTGTCGGTTTCCTTTATCGACAATCCTGTTTGTAGTGTTTTAAATATAGTTACAACTGACACATAATCCGAATTCGCTTTTCCGGAGATTTTATGATAAAAATCTTAGTTTTTGCGTCAAAAGGGGATGGAATTTTGTCTCTTTCCTTAAACTATCATGTTTTTTTATGTTTCAAATAGAGTTACATTGTGAAAATATGATGTTGCTCCAATAATATAGTAAATATCCAAATTTAACAGTTGACTTTTTTTTTTAAACCGACGATTTTAATCCAAACTCATAAATTTCCACCACTATTAAGTTGGAAGACTGTATGTACTAGTATATCAAATATGATGACATTCTGGACACACAAAATACTCAAGTTGTTTCTGTTACATTTTTTATGTTTAAGTCTTTATTGCATAGATCGACTGGACAGAACCACCAGTCATCGATTAAAAATAATTATTTTTCCAGGGGGTAAATATGAAGTCAAAATATCGTGCAAAAACGATTACTCATCGTTAGATTTTGCTATCTAATTTTTTTTTTAATATTATAGATTATGTGGTCTCGATTGTTGCACATATATATGTGGTGGTTTCTTGATTTATTCGAATGAAATGTTTATGTCCGAATAATGTCCGTTCTAGTTTGCTAGAAAGACTCAAACTAAGAAGTGCTAATCTTTGCTACATATCAGACTGTATTTGGAGATATCTTTGCTTGAAGTTCTCTGGTTTAGTTTCATACGTATACGGAGAATTAGTGTGAAACTGTTTGAACATTTTTAACAAAGAAGAAGATCTGATAATAAAAAATTAGGCGATGTCTTGTGATTGATAATGAGACAACCCTCCACCAGAGAGCAAATGACGTAGAAATTATCCATTATAGGTCACCATACGGCTTTCAACAATGAGCAAAACCCATAACGCATAACAAACTAAAAAAGGTACCAAAATGACAAATACAAAACATATTTTTGACCCCTTGAATTCGAAAATAAAAAGTCTTATAAATCTACCCAATAATATCCTCAGACGTTAATTAGACATTAGTAAGTCGGACATCAGTGTTTATATTTTTGAATTTTGTCTTATTTATTGGTATTAGGGCATTCAGGACATTACAGTTTAACTTAGTGCAAAACAACAAAAAATGCAAAAATAGGCTTATTTTGAGATCTTTGTCATTAATATCAAGATATGGGGACCAGCTTTACCAAACCAGACATTTTGCTGCAAAATGTTTTTTACAAAGATGTTAATGCATCTGGAGAAAGACACATAAAGAGCACTCGCAATCGCTTACAAAGACCACTTTTGTAACGAGGGACAACGTACCAACAGTTATTTTGAGGAATGACACAGCAAACTAAAGAAGTACGTCAACCATGCTCACCAAAACATCTACTTCCTGTTAGAAATTCTCCAGAAAACTCAATCCAACACAGAAGCCAACCAGATACAAGTAATTGCTGGGAGAGCTCAAAGACAAACATCCAAGAAGTACCGAAACACAAAACTGTCAACACCGAAAGAACGATTTCTTCAAGGTGAACTTACAAGCATTTTCCTATGCATAATTTCAAATTTTTATAGTGTATATGTCCATTAGTGCTTACATTGTTTGTCACTTTATACGATTGTATTATTGTTTCGTTGAAAATCACTTCTATGCATGATGAAATAAATATATTTTTGTCTTTTGTCTCAGCTATCAATCCGTCGGATCATTCAAAAGTTAATTCAAGCTAGATTCACTTTATCTCGAATTACAGGTAAATTTCATTAATCCTTATTGCATATTAATCAGGTTTTTCAAACAAGGAGTACTTATCCTGTATTAATAAAATATCAAATGATGGGGAAACGTGAACACCATTTTCTCGGTGTATTAACCATAGCAAATGAAAAACAATGCGTTCTTACTCCTAATATCCCTCCCTCTTGAGGACTGAAAGGAAAGTTTTTAAGGCATGGATGTATTAATTTTAGTCGAAATTTGTACCCCCAGTACTAAATATGTTGCGGTTAAACTTCTGCGTCTTTTAATACCTTGTATATAATTCAACGGAAGGCGTGTTGCATTATCTTCTCATGATAGGAAGATGTTTAAAAGAATGTAGAATGTGTCCATAGGACACAGATTATGCCCCCGCTTGCATATAACGTTAGAAAGGGACATAACTCAATTAAGAACGTTGAAAGTGACGCAATCTTAATTCAAACTGGATCTGCGTTTTGTGATAATAAGCACTGTGTATAAGTTTCATAACATTTGGTTGATGCAAACTAAAGTTAGAAAACAAAAACTAATTTTGGGACGTACGGACGGACAAGGGTAACACTTAATGTCCCCTCCGCCGCGGCAGGGGCATAAAAATGCTTGGCGGAGGCGTAGAAAATACAACATTTAAGTTTTAAGTTTTTGGATTGATTTTGTAAATATTAGAACAGCGACCTCTTGCACTTTAGTTGTGCACGCTACCACTAGCGCAATCAACTGAATGATAGTTTGAGAATAAAATAAATGGACAAATGAACAAATTAAACCTTACCAAGATGTAACGTTGATTAATTGTTGGTTGTTAAACGTATTGCAATAAAAAGTACATGCATTAGAACGGATAATTAAAATTTACCTTGCTTACATTATTGTGATAAAAAATGTGAATAACCAGCAATCTCCGTCACATAGTTAATATTCGTATCGTTAGTGCCTCGAAATACTCTTAGTCTACGTCATATTTATCGTCGTGTTACGTAGTATGTAACGGAACGGATATGATATCTGCGCGGGAGATTGAATAACCAGTCTTTGTAAGTTGTACCGAGCTGTCGATCTTTGAACCAAAGAAAACTGCAGACATGTCAATTACGCCTAATTTGTGTTGCTCAGTCTTTGGTATTCTATGATGTATTGTGTGTACTGTTGTTTGTCTTTTCGTCGTTTTTCGTTTTTTGCCATGGCATTGTCAGTTTATTTTCTACTTTTGAGTTTGGATAATCCTATATGGTATCTTTCGCCTCTCTTTTGCATACTAACGGACCTGTTAACAGCGCACATTGTTTACGGAAACATTTCAATGATGATTACTACATTATATTTTAGTTACCCGGTCCGTTAGTGAAGGAATAAACTTATTGGGCTATGTCGTTTTGATTATCCCTATGGTATTTTTCCCTTCTTTTCTTCAATGAGAAAGAGAGAGAACTTTCATTATTAAAAAAAAGTCTTAATTTTTAATTTTACTTAGATATGAGTGTTTCCGCATATAGATTTAGTATTTTACAACTGAAAGTACAGTAGCTCTTTCACAAAAAAAAACAAACAAACTAACGATTGAATTATTTAACTATAATGCATGACATCTGAGCGATTTTCCTCATTCCAGTTGTGTGCGTGAAAATGGCAAATGTACTTAAATGCCTACGGATTTCCTCGTTACTTTAATTGCACGTGACTGTTTGTGTTTAATTGCATCTTGTTAAACATTGTAACGAGAAAACAAATATTAAAACACAAATTAAATTGATTTTTTTTATTTTAGATAACATTTAGGCAGATATTGGATTGTTAAGGAATTCATTTACAGGAACATGTCAGAAAAATTAATATTTACCTCCATTATACAGATAAACACGGATAATGAGATTTTCTGCTTACTCATTTTGTAAAATGTCAATTGATTCGAAGATTTTTGGTGAGAAAGCTTTGTGAAATAACAGGAAAAAAATGAAAATTAAAACTTTACATTTTAGGAAGAGACAAAGTTGTATTTCTATTATAGTCAACTTGTCTAAATTTTTGGGTTGTTTTGTTTGTTAACAGTGGTAAGTCCGACAAAAATATCATCATTTATAATAATGCTAATAATATTTATAATGATAATAATACTTGATAAAAAGAAAAGGAAAGGAAAAACAAAAGAAACTAAGATCTAAATGCAAACAAGTGTTGCTGTATTATAATTTGCAGTAGACTATTGTAATACTTCTTGATGACTTAGCTACTTTTTGTTGTTACCTGTTGTATTATAATAGTAGTTGAAGCATGTATCAGATGCAATAAACCTATGGATCTGTTGTGTTCGCAAAATTTATATAATTTGTTCAGAGCATCTGAGAACCAGTTTTTATGAAGGTTTTACGTTCTGCTGTTTTTCTTCTCGTTGGTTTTTTCGGTTATTGCCAATATTTTGTTGGTCTCCTATCGACCTGTATTTTATTTTTCCTTTGGTATCTTCCGCTTATATGTTTATCAGCTGGGGGCGGGAAATATGTGCGTAAAAAATTATGCCCAGCGCAGAAACATTGAATCTCAGATAAAATCAATGTGGACTATAGCTGCAAAATGAGTTTTAGACTTGTTGATCATAATTGCACATGATTATGAAAAGTAAAAGAAATCTTGGGAAGTACATTCTTTTTATTGTATTTTTACTGCTTATAAACTTGACAATGAAACTGACTGGTTGATGTCTCAAAGCTGACACCGGTTCCACACGTACACAAACAAGTGAGTTTTGCTTAACTACACGCGAAATCACACTATAACGACGTGAACGGGTACCTCTAATTATAACAAGACGTAGAAGTACCTAGACGTAGAAGTGACGGTACAAGTTCGTTTGCCTATCATTTTCTAATAAATAAAAAAAAAAAAAATGTTATTAACACGTAATCACGTATTTGTGCGATGTATATTCATAATCTCAATTATTAATATGTTCATAGCATGTTTATAGTAATATTCATAAACTTACATGGTCTTTTCCGTAAGATGTCTCAAGTTAATTTGAAAAAATGATCACTCTTATAATATGTCTTTTCCTATTACCGGTAAAGCTACCCATTTGACAATATATCTCAATTTGAACATTGTTCCCAACCTGTTTAAAAAAGTGATAAAAATGAAAACTGCACACTGTTCGAGTACCATCACAGCATGATATGAATAATTGACACTCAGTATCGTGATTGGTGACAAAGCAGCTTTTTAGTTTCTTTTCTGAATCTTCTATCAAAGAATCCATAAATAAATGGATTGACAACGTTATTTACAACATTCATCTCCCTGGTAAAAGCTACAAAAGCTAACTCAACTTTAGATAGTTTTCCGAAGAATTTAGGGTCTCGCAAACTTACCGTAAGCACAACGAGACGTGGAACATACGAGATTATAAATGCTATACCTATGGCCATAAACATAAATGAGTAACGATGTGCAAAAGACATTTTTCGGATGGATTTAGTATCTGTCTCTGAGTTTGTAAGGTTGTTATTGTTTAGTCTTGTAGTCTCTGAAACGGACACATTTTCACTAATATCTGGAGCTATGTTTATTAGTACAAGTGGCAAAGTAGAACTGACTCTATGTCTATTTATTTGGTTTTGGTTGATTCTTGCATTCTTTGCCTTCGTTTGAATGTAAATTTTACGACCAATAAAGGCATTACAAATCATAAGTGCCAGCATAATGCCAAACGAGCTTATAATTGAAATTATAGTGTATGTTAAAAATCCTGTTCCATAATATCGCTCAACGTCAACATCACAAATATAACCCGTTACATCATTCGAAGAATTTTTTACTTCAATTTCATCATTGTACAATATTAGCGGTATTGAAAATCCAACTGCAATGATAACAGTTACTGTGAGAAATGTTTGTTTCCAAAATATTGTCATCTGAGGACCAAAAGGGCGACATATTTTGAGATACCTCTGCACAGCTATAACTAATAGTAGAAATATAGAGGCTACCGCTGAGACATTTGTCGGAAACCATAACGCTTTGCACATTTCACTTCCACGAAAGTTCACTGGGTTTAAGTTCATTGCCAATTCCAATGAAGATCTGGAGGCACATGCAAATAGATCCATGATTGCAAGAAAAGGTATGAAATATCGATCATCTTTTTTCTTTTTCATACGGAAGCTATAAATAAAGATAACAACAACATTTCCAAATATTCCTAGAATCAAATAAAGCCCAAGAAAAACATCATTTACAATATAATTTGTTGAAAGCTCGTTATTCCATTCTTTCAATTTATCATCATCCGATGTGTTCATGTTTATTCGAAAACAAGAAAACAAAGCCGTAAAATTGTCGCATTTAAGACATAATTCAAGGGCCTTGTGTTATATAACAACGACAAGCTTAACTTAATCGTTTAGTTCGTCAATACGTAATCCAATTGATGGTTTCTGTAACGAACACTTGTATCAATTATCTTAAAACGTACAATAGCATGGAACAATTACTTTTCTGTGAGTTCAAGATGTTATCCACTAGTCGAAGACTTTTAAATTGCTTCAGTAATCAGTCAGCCAAGCAGGAACCACTATTGTCTAAAAACGGGTATTAAAGTTCTCCTGTATTGAATCAATTGTCGGTTATCCCTATTATCTGTGGAAAATACAAATAAATTGTCATCTCAAAATCAACACTCTTTGTATTTTTTAATGATTTATAATAGTAATTTTATTGAACATACAATGCTTTTTCAATTGTTTCTGCAAAGTCTTTTCGTTAGCAAACTGATTACTAGATAAATCTAATAGATAATGCAGTATAATATGCGAAAATAGCAGTGTAACGAGAAATACGGATCGACAAAGAATCAGAATTTACATTAAAAAAGAATGAGCGTTGGCGATAAACAAGTGTATTACGCCGCTAAACCAACTTTTACTAATATGGCAGTATCACAATGCTCAAAATACAATTGAGAATAAATCTCGACAACCACACTTCATGAAATTTTCTCTATTTGAAAAGTGTAACATTTATCCCACTGATGTTATTTGTAGTTATTTCATTTTGAGATGAATAAGTTGTAATATTTATATTATTTTCAAACAAGGACAAATAAACATAATTTGGATTTCAGTAACAAACAGCAACTACTTGGAATTTAGTTGGTTATGTTTTTACGATGCACAGTTTCAATCCATTGCCTGCATAAATGTTAAAAACTATTGGTAATGTTGATATTAGGCGACTGTACTGTTATTCTGTTTAACCACATAATCTGAAAAATAAACTGGAAAACACAAGAAGGTGTATCTAAAAGGGGAGGATTTGGGGTAAAACAAACTGTGATGTACATATATAAAGTTTAGAAAAGCCGCCAAAGATACCAGGCTTGTAATTGAAATGAATCTACCGATGAGACAGCAACAATACGACACACAAAACCAAAAGACACATAGATGTAAACATAGTTTTCAACAATTGACACATGTCCAGTATCTCCCAGTAGTACTAACTTCTACAAATAACAAAAGACATTATATCATACGACATAAGATAACCTTTGACGAAGTTCCTGAATACAGGCAGATGGACATGTAGAGGGAGTTAAAGTAGTTTTTGACACATCCACCCCCCAACTCCTTAATGATAATCTTGATCTTAATCATTCGACTTTTAATATATTTATATAACAAAAGGTACGTATAAGAATATATAATACAAATACACGAAAAGCACTTAACCGTATAACGGTAGAAAAGATAAAAAAAAACACACAAGCACAACAAAACAATAATCAAATCTAAACAGTTAGAAGGCCAAATAAAATCTAGAGAGTTAGAAGGCCAAATCAAATCTAAACAGTTAGAAGGCCAAATCAAATCTAAACAGTTAGAAGGCCAAACCAAATATAAACAGTTAGAAGGCCAAATCAAATCTAAACAGTTAGAAGGCCAAATCAAATCTAAACAGTCAGAAGGCCAAACAAAATATAAACAGTTAGAAGGCCAAACCAACTCTTAACAGTTAGAAGGCCAAACTAAATATAAACAGTTAGAAGGCCACATCAAATATAAACAGTTAGAAGGCCAAACCAAATATAAACAGTTAGAAGGCCAAATCAAATCTAAACAGTTAGAAGGCCAAATCAAATATAAACAGTTATAAGGCCACATCAAATATAAACAGTTAGAAGGCCAAATCAAATCTAAACAGTTAGAAGGCCAAATCAAATCTAAACAGTTAGAAGGCCAAATCAAATCTAAACAGTTAGAAGGCCAAACCAAATACAAACAAATAGAAGGCCAAATCAAATCTAAACAGTTAGAAGGCCAAATCAAATATAAACAGTTAGAAGGCCAAACCAAATATAAACAGTTAGAAGGCCAAATCAAATATAAACAGTTAGAAGGCCAAATCAAATATAAACAGTTAGAAGGCTAACCCAAATATAAACAGTTAGAAGGCCAAACCAAATCTAAACAGTTAGAAGGCCAAATCAAATCTAAACAGTTAGAAGGCCAAATCAAATCTAAACAGTTATCAGGCCAAATCAAACCTAAACAGTTAGAAGGCCAAATCAAATCTAAACAGTTAGAAGGCCAAATCAAATCTAAACAGTTATCAGGCCAAATCAAACATAAACAGTTAGAAGGCCAAATCAAATCTAAACAGTTAGAAGGCCAAATCAAATCTAAACAGTTAGAAGGCAAAATCAAATATAAACAGTTAGAAGGCCATATCAAATCTAAACAGTTAGAAGGCCAAATCAAATATAAACAGTTATAAGGCCACATCAAATATAAACAGTTAGAAGGCCAAATCAAATATAAACAGTTATAAGGCCACATCAAATATAAACAGTTAGAAGGCCAAATCAAATCTAAACAGTTAGAAGGCCAAATCAAATCTAAACAGTTAGAAGGCCAAATCAAATCTAAACAGTTAGAAGGCCAAACCAAATACAAACAAATAGAAGGCCAAATCAAATCTAAACAGTTAGAAGGCCAAATCAAATATAAACAGTTAGAAGGCCAAACCAAATATAAACAGTTAGAAGGCCAAATCAAATATAAACAGTTAGAAGGCCAAATCAAATATAAACAGTTAGAAGGCTAACCCAAATATAAACAGTTAGAAGGCCAAACCAAATCTAAACAGTTAGAAGGCAAAATCAAATCTAAACAGTTAGAAGGCCAAATCAAATCTAAACAGTTATCAGGCCAAATCAAACATAAACAGTTAGAAGGCCAAATCAAATATAAACAGTTAGAAGGCCAAATCAAATCTAAACAGTTATCAGGCCAAATCAAACATAAACAGTTAGAAGGCCAAATCAAATCTAAACAGTTAGAAGGCCAAATCAAATCTAAACAGTTAGAAGGCAAAATCAAATATAAACAGTTAGAAGGCCATATCAAATCTAAACAGTTAGAAGGCCAAATCAAATATAAACAGTTAGAAGGCCAAATCAAATCTAAACAGTTAGAAGGCCAAATCAAATACAAAATTGAAAGAAGGCCAAATCAAATACAAAATTGAAGAGCGTTCAATTTAGAAAAAAACTTAAACATTGTGCCAAACCTGACTAATGCTATCACCGTTAAATGTTTGTGGTTAGAAAAACCTAAGTGATTCGAAGTGTATGAACAGAAAAAATTGCCGCATCAAAAATTGTTCATGGGTGATAACTTCGGCGACGAAACATCCAGAATAAATAAGCAATGGTTCAAATGGCAACTTCATAGTCAAGTTAATAAAGATTTCATTATTTTTGTGAACGTGTTGATTTTTTATTCATAAATCTGACATTAAAGCTCGTATCAAAATAACAAAAACATCTGGAACAATCTTCATTTACAATATTGATAACATCATTCCAAAGTCAGGTGTTTTTTTTAATGTCAATTGGTACCCGAATTTATCACAGATATTACATACATACGTGAACACATGAGAGAAAATATGTAATGATCGAAAATAAAAAAAATCACTTTATCTTTATAATATTGCACTTTCGGTTAAGATAAATGTACTTACCAGGAACGTATGTTAGATAATCTCTTGTAATTGGACCGAAGATCGATTTAAACGACAACAACTTACTCACTTCTCGTTGAAATGTCAATATTGCTGTTAAACTAAATAATCCAATATCCAATTAAAGTTTTGAAATCAATTAAAAGTTGAAGAAATAGTTGCAACTGTCCTAGTAATGAATCCTAATTATTCCATTAAAAGGCTGAGTATAGTACATACAGTTACGTTATGATATAATAAGCTAAAACAAGAAAGTTTTTTTTAACTTTAAAAGTATAAGTCCGGATTCAATCCAGTATTAAACGAATGAGGATTAAAGCCAGGTACCAATCAAAATTGGCTGGAATTAACTGTAGTACATATTTACAACTTCTCGTCCAATCAAATAGCTAGATTTCCATTCCTGTTTCATAGTACAAATACTTTTTTCCGGGTACAGGGTGACTATGTAGACTTTCAAAGGAATCGAAAATTGTATGACATTACAAATGTGCATGCGTTCGCTGTAATTTTTTATTTGATATGTTGCTGTCAACATTTTGCTTGTTGAATGTAGGTTGTATCATGTATCAACACTGATCTAAGTTTAGATTATTGGGGGCGAAAATTTAAAATGTGTGTGATTTTACTTTTATATTAGTTAAGTTGTATAGAAGAAGATCGTCAAACAAAGCGGCACAACGTAGACCTATCTGGTTATGTTTTACTGATATGATGTTTGTGCTTTTTGGTACTGGTAACCATTAGAAAAATTTGACACAAAAATGAAATCAATTGGCAAATATTACAGCATTTCAGGACAAGCTCATGTTGATGTGATATGATTAATTAATACTGCTTTGTGCTAGACCGACACGCTGATTCTGATTATGAATGTGCTATTTCATAAAGTAACAGTCTGCAAATCAGCAAATATAATTTTTTCAGTCTTTGGTTCGACTCTGTTGGAAATCGAATAAACAATCTCCCGCACTCGAGGCGATCACACGAATAATACGGTTTGAATAGAGATTTGGAATTTTTTATGAAGACAGCTTTTTTTTTAAACACCATTTTGATATTCCTTTTGTACTTCTGGAAATTGTAATAGTTTTAGTTATATGAAGGGCTACTAGAGGTACGCGTAACAGGTCGTTCACGAACCCTAAAGGTACACGTAACACTTTGTTCACGTACCCTAGAGGTGCGCGTAAGTTTGTTCACGCAGGGGTGAATCCAGCCAATTTTAAAAGGGGGGTTCCCAACCCAGGATAAAGGGGGTGTTCCAACTATATGTTCCCATTCAAATGTATTGATCGTCAAAAAAAGGGGTGTTCCAACTCCCGGATCCGCCACTGTCACGTACCCTAGAGGTGCGCGTAACGGTTTGTTCGCGTTCATAGAGGTGCGTGTAACAGTTTGTTCACGTACCCTAGAGGTACGCGTAACTGTTTGTTCGATCAGCTAACCGCAACAGAAAACCTGTCATCCCTTTCCCTGAATAATGGATTATCTCTGTCAATAATATTTTCCTAAGGTTATGAAAATAGAACGACATGTATAACTTCCACTTTATGTGTTTAAAAATCTTTGAACCAAGTAGGAGTTATTGATAAAAATAAAAAGAGATAAAC